GGGTGCCGCTTCGCCGGCCAGTTCAAGCCTGGGCGGCTGGACCAAAGCGGCTGCTCCAACTATGACACCCCCAATTGGGTCAACACGGGCCAGCCCCCCACCCGGGTGGACGAGACCCCCGAGGATCCCACTCGCGACAGGACCAACATGATCGTCTACATCATCTGCGGTGTCGTGGCCATCATGGTGCTGGTGGGCATCTTCACCAAGCTGGGCCTGGAGAAGGCACAGGGTCCCCAGACGGAGATGACCGTCTCCAGGTAAAGGGGCCCTGTCCCCCCACCCACCCCGTTTGATCCCCCCATGTCCCCAGCCCCTTGCATAGGGTGAGCCCTGGCTTCACCCTGGGGCTGCCAAAAGGGTGAGGTAATCCCCAAAACCCCTGTCCCAGCATGCTGAGACACTGGGGAGGTGGGAGGGTGGGTTGGCTGCAGCCCCACAACCTGTCCTGGCAGGGAGGGCTGCCAGCAAGGACAGCCTCCATGAGAAGAGGTGATCGTACACCCGTCCCCTCTCAAAATGACCTGCTCTGTCCCTTGAGGAGGCCTGTCCCTGGCTCAGGAGAGCCATCCCCGCTGGCCAGTGGGGTGGGTGACATGTGAGCTATAGGACGTAGCTCCCCCCCAAAAAACCAAGCTGTGGTTCCCAATGTGCAGGGGAGGTGAGACTGGGTCCGACTGCGCGTGGGGTGACTCGGAGCGCAGTCCCCTTGGGCTCAGCCTCTCTGGCAGTGCAGGGGGGAGAGGGGACGCAAAGACAGCTCTGCCATGGCTGCTGCATGTCCTCGGTGTGTGTGTGCACACGCGTGTGTGTGCATGGGTGTGCACTGGGGTGGGACATGGCCCTTGCAGGGGGGGACCGGGCTGCACACCCCCTGGGGCTCAGCCTCCAGCAGAAAGTTGGGCAGCCTCCCCTTGGCCCCCGTACCCTGCGGCTTTTCAGCCCGCTCCTGGGGCTGAGCGCAGGGCTGGCAGGGGGAAGGTCGGGCTGTCAGGCACACTTTGGCATTGGGGACCCCCTGTGCCTCTTCCTGCTCCCACACAGCTCCCGTGGCCAGCGGTGCATCTTCCCCGCTCTCTCCTGCACCAGTCCTGGCTCCAGATACACCCTTCTCACCCCATTTTGGCCCACCCCCCCAGCCCTTGCTACACGGCCTCCCCCCCAGCTCCCAGCACTGAGGTGTCATGAGCGGCCCAGCCTCAGCCCTGCAGCGTGCACCACCGGCTTCCCTGGGGGCAGCAGGGTCATGTGCCTGATGCTGGGGCACACCCCAGACGGAGATGACCGTCTCCAGGTAAAGGGGCCCTGTCCCCCCACCCACCCCGTTTGATCCCCCCATGTCCCCAGCCCCTTGCATAGGGTGAGCCCTGGCTTCACCCTGGGGCTGCCAAAAGGGTGAGGTAATCCCCAAAACCCCTGTCCCAGCATGCTGAGACACTGGGGAGGTGGGAGGGTGGGTTGGCTGCAGCCCCACAACCTGTCCTGGCAGGGAGGGCTGCCAGCAAGGACAGCCTCCATGAGAAGAGGTGATCGTACACCCGTCCCCTCTCAAAATGACCTGCTCTGTCCCTTGAGGAGGCCTGTCCCTGGCTCAGGAGAGCCATCCCCGCTGGCCAGTGGGGTGGGTGACATGTGAGCTATAGGACGTAGCTCCCCCCCAAAAAACCAAGCTGTGGTTCCCAATGTGCAGGGGAGGTGAGACTGGGTCCGACTGCGCGTGGGGTGACTCGGAGCGCAGTCCCCTTGGGCTCAGCCTCTCTGGCAGTGCAGGGGGGAGAGGGGACGCAAAGACAGCTCTGCCATGGCTGCTGCATGTCCTCGGTGTGTGTGTGCACACGCATGTGTGTGCATGGGTGTGCACTGGGGTGGGACATCGCCCTTGCAGGGGGGGACCGGGCTGCACACCCCCTGGGGCTCAGCCTCCAGCAGAAAGTTGGGCAGCCTCCCCTTGGCCCCCGTACCCTGCGGCTTTTCAGCCCGCTCCTGGGGCTGAGCGCAGGGCTGGCAGGGGGAAGGTCGGGCTGTCAGGCACACTTTGGCATTGGGGACCCCCTGTGCCTCTTCCTGCTCCCACACAGCTCCCGTGGCCAGCGGTGCATCTTCCCCGCTCTCTCCTGCACCAGTCCTGGCTCCAGATACACCCTTCTCACCCCATTTTGGCCCACCCCCCCAGCCCTTGCTACACGGCCTCCCCCCCAGCTCCCAGCACTGAGGTGTCATGAGCGGCCCAGCCTCAGCCCTGCAGCGTGCACCACCGGCTTCCCTGGGGGCAGCAGGGTCATGTGCCTGATGCTGGGGCACATGGGGACGTGCAGGGGTGGGCAGGAGAGCCCCCCTGGCCTGGGGTGGGGAGGGCAGGGCTAGGCAGGACGTGCAGACATAGGAGGGCAGGGCTGGTGGTCCCAGCCCCAGCCATGGCCCCGCTGCCTTGGTGTCGGGT